TTGTACATATGCCATTAGCATTGATAAATCATTTACTTTCTCAGGGTGACCTTATAATTATGAAACGGTGCAAAAGCCGACACTATCTTTAAAAAATTCGTAAAAAATTTGAGGTGAAGGATATTGCGACCGAAATTCGAGTACGGAGGTACATTGTGACGAGGAATCTACCAGTGTTTGCCAAAAAATTCCATTCCGGCTGCTTTCTCCAGAATCACAAAAATCTGGGGTGACCTTATAATTATGAAATGCAGTGTATATCTGATGGTGTCACCATTAGGAAAGGTGTCTTAAGGGGTCGGGTCTGGAAAATTTAGTGGCCATCATAAATGTGCCAACACTTAATTTTAAGTGACGCCTGGTTCACAACCACCCCAACGGTCAACTATGTACCACCTCCAACTGTGTGGTCTGTCCAACTGGCAGGGAAGGGGGTTGCACTATGTCTGGTGTGGCCTATGAGATTTCTTGACTATGGGGATGAGTATAACGACAAGGCCACTTCACATGAGAATCAAGGGGTACCTAAATGGCATGCTCGATCAAGGGAGCCTACCGCCTTGGGAGTCCATGGCATTCAAAACCAAAACGGAGGCGTCTTCGAGGTTACCAGTGGAGCTCGTGGCACAGGAATTGCAATTGTGCGCGCGCGAATCCCTCGAGGCATTCTAGATGCTAGCCACCAAACCAAAAATAAACCGGCGAGAAGAATGCCTTACAATTACGCAGGAACTGTGGCTTTATAGTACAGGGTTGGCCATAATTATAGCGACAAGACTTGCTGTAGTTAGCGTACATTCTATCGCGCACATAGCCCTCCAATTTTATAGATTTTTCAATGTGATCATTTTTTCTAACTCCTGTTGAAATTTTGTTAAATTTGGTCCATCCTTAGTGAAATGGTGAAGCCTTCTCCTAATCGTTCCGCTACTGTTGTCTGCACAAAGCCGGTCGCCCACGAGCCACGATCGCTAATCACCTCGACATCCACCGTAGCGTCGTGTATCGCACACTCCAATGTTATCGAAACCTTGGTGGACTCCAAGACCGCCGAAGAAGTGGAAGACCTCGTACTGCTCGCACACCGAAGGTCGACGAGGCCGTCAGAAAGTGGATAGCAAGAAACGCGACTCGGAGCGTCTCGACGATGGCTCGCGACTAGGGAATCTCGCGGAAGTCAATGGAATGGGTCGTCCACGAAGACCTTAAGATGTACCCCTACCGCACTCGGAAGGCTGCTATTCTCAGCGCCTCGAATCAACAGGCGCGAGTCAAGAAGTGCCGACAGCTTTTGCTTCGGACGCGCAACAAGGGCAACCATTCGATCGTTTTTTCGGATGAGAAGATCTTCACCGTCGAGCAGCAGTTCAACGCTCAGAAAGTCAGAGTGATCGCAAGGAATGCCGAGGCAGCCGACAAGAAGGGTAGAGTCCTTCACCGAGCCGCACACCCTGCTCAAGTCATGGTTTGGGCAGGGGTGTGTGCCTCGGGGAGGACGCCGTGGATATTCGTCGACCTCGGCGTCAAAATCGACAAAGATTACTACCTGAAGACGATTCTGGAAGATGCTGTACTTCCGTGGGCGAATTCTCACTTCAACGGTCGCCCGTGGACACTCCAGCAAGATTCGGCGCCCGCCCACAGGGCCAAGGTCGTCCAAGACCCACTGGACTATAACTTGTGGTCCTACCTTGAGAGCAAGGCCTGTGCCACTCCCCACCCCAATTTGGATTCTCTGAAGGCAGCGCACATCAAAAATGGGACGAAATCGACGACGCACTCCTGCGTCCGGTCATCGACGCTTTTCCCAATCGACTCCGCGCTGTCCTCAGTGCCAAAGGTGGCCGTATCGAGAAGTAACTTGTGATTGTCAATGTACCAGTTGTTACTTAATAAATGTTATGTTCATGACTAGTTTGCACTTTGGCTTTCTGAGATATAAGGTGAAAATCTTGTCCTATATTTATGGCCAACCCTGTATATGGTTGAACTTCGATTTGATGAAGACGTGGCCGGGCTGACTCTGGTCCCACTATCGGTTGCTGAGTGATTACGAGAATCCACGAAGGGGTACGGTGAGCAGTTCAAGTTCAATAACAACTCGTGAGGGTTCAACACAAGATCATCTCAAGCTACAATCATGCCGAGACTCATTGAAGCCTCGTATATGGAGTAAGTAAAGTTACTTATACACCCAAGACTTGAGGAGGTCTCCACTCATGACGCACGAAGTGGGTTGGATTGCGAGTATGTGTGCATTCGTGTATGTGTGTATATGTATGTGTGTATGTGTATGTGTGTGCGTGTTCGTGTCTGTGTGTGTTGCGGCGTATGTCTGTGTGTGTTTGAAATTGGGAGATCGATAGCTCCTGTTTTACCGGACCATAGTATTTGAGTTTGAAGAGGATGCAGGCGCTGGGTCAATTTTAACACGGCGTCAGGCGGGTTCCTCCTTGTCGTGTTGAAACTGACCCAGCGCCTGCCTACTCCTATCGACCCGTCTGATGTGAATCGTAATAAAGAAAGCTTATTCTGGAACACACCTGAGAGAAGTCGAAAAGTTAATTATTCATAGTTTCGTAGGTTGATTCAACACACCTTTAAGGCACAGTTCACGATAAAAATGGTTTCGGAGAATTTCCCATGGTATGTATTCGGGGCCCCCTGTGACACCATATGTGCCGAATTGAGGTCGTAGAATGTTCTGGATAGGGCACATCAAGGGTTCTGAGAGTGGGGGCCGAAAGGCCTCCGCCCCTCTCTAGGGTGACTACGAAATCTTATTGCCGTTCACCACTTTCGCATTAGAGCAACATTAGTGAACAATCGATAAGCTGATTGGCAAATTGCCACGGACGGGCATGTAGATTTTGTTGCAAAATCAGCTGTTTGCGTGTGTTGTGTGCCATTGCAGACACTGCGTCGCGTTCGTCTGGCTCTCCTGAACACTCCTATTAACCGCGGTTTTCGGCTGTGTAACTCTTCCATTGAACTACTGTAGGCCGTACCTATCATTTCCCGTCAAAAACCGGATACCCCAAAATTATCGTGATTTGTGCCTTTAACATTGCTCACCTAAAATAGCATAATGGGTTCCTCTCCTCACCGCACTCACACTCACTTCACGTTGTTCTTACGCTCCTTGGTATTCTGGATGCTTCGACGGAGTCCAAATGAAATTTCGCTCCCGAAATGCGCCATGGGAAGAATATATCTGCATCCTTTTGATGTGACCTTCATTCGGCACTTAAAGAAGATGTTGCATAAAGAAGGCTAGGCTGATGAGTTCGATGGAATGCGTTTTACTCGCCGAAACAAGCAAAATTATGTTCGCGATGGAATTAATACAATACCGCTACTAATTCGTGGTCAATCGACATTTTGCGACGGAATAATCCGTTTGCGACAGATCAGTCCGTCGCAAACCGTCGCTTCGCCATAACATATTGAATTTCCGATTTTCTTGCATTTTATGTCTTCATTCCCAGGAAAAATGAGAATCGAGTCTCTCGGCGCTTGAGGTGGTTCTTGCGGATATATGAGCATCGTGAACCCTCTACTTAGATTGGAAAACTTTTTTTTCAGCTACCAAAAATTATGGGCGGCACTATATTCTAAGAGAGCCTTGAGTCCTGATCAGTTTGATATCTTTCATGACATAACTTTAATACCTTCAGCTGAAAACAGTAGTCTGAATTGCAAGGTTTTGAGATATTTGCTACTTATTTCAAGCCATCTACTTTGTCGAAGACCAATAGGTACCCTTATGGAAAATCCATACATACTATGGTTTTCATTTTCTTCAAATTAGCAGTTTCATTTTCGAGAAGATCGTGGAATGAGTCTTCATCTTCCTGATGTTTATCTGCCTGACTGACCTGATCTGATCTAATCTAACTAGAGTCTATCATCGATCTAATACCCAAATAGCCTATGGTCAAAAAACGTGAGTTTTTGAAAAATTTTGTATTTTGATCTATCAGCTAAAATTTGGTACTTTGATCCTCTGATAGTAACTAAATTTGTTTGAATTTGTCATTAGAGATATCAAAAGACTGTACTCGCCGTAAGAACTCGAAAATTCACGCAAATAACGCAAGTTCGCGTCCTTCTCGTTTTTTCTCTATGAACCGCTCCAAAATGGAGTAATCGAAGAGCTAGACATATTGTTGAACTCAGCTCGGCGAGCTCTACAAGTTAATACCATGACTTGTTGAAAATGCTTCACTTTGGATTGCGCCATGCACTTTAGTTCCATCCGAGAAAAGATTGCATGTACATGGGCTGCGCGCTTTAGTGCTTGTAGGGGCTGATTGGTTCCTGGAGATGATGTGTTCAGAATTCGCTTTGGATTGCATCAGTACTCGACTCTACTCAGTCCAACGTGAAAGTGATTGTTTGGTTCTATTCAGTCTTCATCGTTCCTTTTTTGAGTGTCTTTTTGTAGCTGAGTTAAACACTCTTAGATTCCCAGTGAAAAGTGCTATCGAATGATAAATAGGTTATAGGTCTCTGGGCGGTTTCCTGCTGGACGCGTTCGGATACGCAGGTGGTCGGGTATGGTACCTGGACGAGGTTTGAATGGTGGTGCTTCGCAGGCGACGGCCTTTCGTAGTGGCAGGGGCTGAGGGCGGTTTTGAGTAATTGGGACCTGGACTCGCAGGAGGGCGAGTACTGTAATGGCGGGATGTTGGGGCGTTTTGAATAGTAATTATTGGAATGGGGGTTAGATTGGCATTTGGCGGGCTACTGTAGTGCCGAGAAGGGGGTTGGTTTGAATGGTGATTTGGCGGTAAGATCTGCAGGAGAAGGGTTACTGTAGTGGCGGGAATGTGGGGCAGTTTGAATGGAAGTTTTGAGACGGTCTGAAGGAGCGGTTCGTCTCCATCGTTCATTTATAATGTAGAACCTGTAAGGACATATACGGTCTCTGCAACAAACACTTCTCTTTACAAATTCCATTGAGAATGTGACATAAGTTTACGGTAAAAAAACAGAGTCGACTTTTTTGACATTTTCCAATGTTTGGAGGAGTTTCTTCTGGAACATCAGGAGGTGGCAGCGATGCACTCAACTATCGTAGACATCTCCGTTGTTTGCATAACTGTTATGGTACACCTTAACTTATAACTACAAACAGCTCCACACGGATACAGGTCAGTTTCATCGCTTCTGCTCCGCAGCCCTTAGAATGTTCCNTCCGTAATTTGAAAGATAACCTAAGGAATCACAATCACAAATATAATTCGACTTACACGCTCCGGCGAAAGCGGTTCCGTCAGAACTTTAGCTGTGAGTATGAAGCTCTTATCAATCTCGGAGGCTAAGTTAGTTCACTATGAGTCAGTCCGCTGTTAACTATCTCGAAACGACTTTTAAACCCGCTGAAGAGGATTTCGAAAGCAGCTAAAAGAGCCAATCAGAGCCTGTGCTTTTTTGTATTCAGAATTGTAAACAATTTTGGCCGCTACGGATTTTTTCAGAAAAGTGAAGCGAACATGTCGAGAAATAAACCATGTCCATGCTATTCTGAGTGGGCCAAAATTATGATTACTCAGACGTCACATCCCCAAAAACGAAGAGAAAGCTAAAAAAGCAATCCAATTTCAGGAAAGCGTTTACCACTGATCTCTTATCAAAATAATACATTGAAAATAGGATCTGTTGCTTTCTGCTTTCAACCCCAAGACGGCGATGGGCGGCATCGACGGTGGCACGCAACTAAGGTTATCGAGCTGATCCCGGTTTCTTGAAAAGCATTTCTGAAATTAGTTCACTTCTTGTTTGTGCCAACGGATGCTTTCATCTCAAAGGCCGACCACACTGAGTCATCCATAGGATTTAGATCAGGGCTCCAGAGCGGTCACTGATCGAAAGTTGTGATATCAGACAACCGCTTTCACAAAATTTTTTGACAATTTCACATTTTCTTTTTGCGGTCAGGAGCTTCATCTTCACAATATGTCCGGTTTGAATCGCCGAAGTGCCCTATTGCGCATAACGAAATCGAACAGGC